GAAAGCAATCAAGAAAATAAATGAACTAACGCAGTTGGAAGAGGACTGAACATTTAATATATACGTTGATATTCGGTTTTGAAGCTATAAAAATTAAACTTTAATTTTTAGGGGAGTGTGTACGGAATAGTGGACCCCCCCCCATATAAGTGACGTAAGCATGATTGACGTTTGCATAAAAGAAACATTAAGAGCATGTTGATGGGGGGTCGTTTATTATTAGATTATGTGAGACGAGACAAAACAAAACAAGTGATTTGTGAGCGTGAGAATTCTATATTTTTATACAAATAAATGTAATTTGTCTTTGTGATTTCTGTGGTTGTATACCTGTTAACAATTTAACAAGAGAAGTTCGGTATAATACTATATCAGCTCGAGTAAAAATGGCCAAAGAGCAACGAGTTTTTATTGTTTAACGCACTGCGTTATTAATCAGCACATAATTATATGTTGAACGAAACCAAAAACTTTCAAATAACTCCCCATGCATAAAATTCGATTCAATTGTGTTTACGCACCCGTGGATTCAGTATATACAGGGTGTATAAAAAAAAACGCAACCTCGGAATTTCCTAAGAAATCGCTTTGCAATTCTTAAGCATAAAAGATTTTAAGCCGCTGGGAATTGAAATCGAAATGCTAATAGATCTTATTACTGTTGTTGTGCATTAAATAAATGCATAAATTTTGCTTTATGCACTCGCGTGTGCAATAATTTTGACAGTTGTGCTATTTTAAATTCCCAGGCGCCTAAAATCTTTTGTCTTTAAAACAATGTCGATTTCTTGAGAAATTCCGAGGTTGCGTTTTTTTTATACACCCTGTACTATATACAGGTTGTTAAAAAAATGTAATCCAACTTTGACATGTTATCGTGCATTGAATATACGTCAATAGGTTTTCGTTTTCGTATTTATAAAGAACAGGCATTTTAGCTGTCAAATGATAAAAAAATGACCAAATGCGATCTGATTTAAAGTGATCGTTTGAGTTTGCATTTTTTCCACCTTTTGGCTTTGGGATTTAAATCATATAAATCATATTATTCCAATTTTCGAACATTTTCCCAAATGTTTGTTGCCCATTTGGGACTCATGCATATGCCATTGTTTGGGACTCATGCATATGACATTGTGAGCCCAGTCTGCAAGCTTCCAGTGTTTTTAAATGTTCTATAACCACAGAAGGCCCAGGCTCGATTTGCCCGCGCCCGCCTGTGGAAGGCACAGGCGGGCGCGGGCAAATCGAGCCTGGGCCTCTTGTGCTATAACCACTAGTCAATTTCGATGTAAAGCTGGAGTTACACGAGCAACAAAATTGCTGCAACTTGCAACAAAATCTGATTTCAACGCATGTTAAGTAGAAATGTCGACACATGTTGCCTTGGCTTGTGCTTTGTAATTTATCGGTGTGTAAACATTTTCAATTAACATGCGTTGAAATTAGATTTTGTTGCAAGTTGCAGCAAATTTGTTGCTCGTGTAACTCATGCAGCTTAAAATCGCGACTAGTAAAAGCTAGTTTATTAAAACTTGATGCTTGCACATGCGTGCAAGATCAGCCATGTAAAGTGTAGTGAAATATATCTCATCGTAATATTAAATCCTAAGAAAACTAAAGCCTCTGCGGAGGAGAGAGAGAGGCGTTGCGCCATGTTTACTTAAGGGACTTCAATTTGAATCCCTAATGAGAATAATTTCAATACTCAGACAATATTGCCTTTTACGCAATTCCCAACGGTCATGGAAAAATGCGATTTCGACCGAGGTATTTTAAATCGGATCGTAATTCGTATTCTATTTTTTATTGCAATGATACAAGAAAGGTAGCACTCGACAGTCGACAAGTTAAAAGCCGGATCGTTATTGGCATGAAAAATGGATAAACGTAATATATAATGCACAATAACATATGCCAAAGTTGGATTACCTTTTTTTTATACACCCCTGTAGTACTTTTAATCTTTAATTTTAATTTTTAAATTAATCTCTTACCCTATATTTTAATTTCCAGGCCGATCGTGTATGTTGATCAAAACAACGATTTGAGACAGCCAGCTTGCAGCTTTAGAATTTTGTGACGCCATCGTGCAACCTCTGTGGCTGGGGCAGATTCTTCCCCAGTCGTTCAATTTGAATTTCATTTTATATAACGCGCCCACTACTGACCTCAGCCCACGCGGCCGCTCTTGCCTTCAGCCGCCTGACAATTGCCTGAATATTGCGGAATACAAAAAAAGATGCTATTTAGAGAGTAGTCTAATTAAAAGAGGACTTCTAAAATAATATTATAAGATAGGCAAGTATTTATATTGAAAAGCGACTGGGAACAAGTCTGATGGCTGGGGCATAGTACGCCAACCACAAATTATGTCGAGACAATATTTCACTTGGTGAAACTTTTTTTTAGTCATAAAATTAATATTGAGTTTATAAATTATCTAATTATAACATATATATCTTGTATTCTACCATACATGCTTATTACAAATAAAATTAATCGATATTTTACATTTTCATGTATATGTAATGTATGTTATCTAAAACTTTATTTAAAGACGCTAACCTCGTCAACGGTACGCCGATTTCCACGAGGTGCGTCATATCATTATTCATGTACTCTATACATTATTACCAAGGTTCTGCTATACGTTCTCTGGGATTTCTTGAAGGTCCCAATTAGTTCCAAACAATGATATACAATGAAAAGTACGAAACTGAACTAAAAAGAACTGGAACGCTATTGAACCTACGATTGAGGCCTTTTATACACTTTGTCTAGAGCATTTATTTTTCCATAAACAAATTATCTGATGTCGTAATATATGCAGGTAACTCAATAGAGTAAAACTATAAGAACGCTTTACATAAACAGTATATATCCTGGTATATATCGGACATTACCGCGCTTTCAATTTATCCCCATTATAAATTTTATAGTTAGCAAAATATTCAATTCTGATCTGAGGTAAGTATATATATAGCGTTGCCGTTCTTTTTTAGATCAATGCCGAGTATATACAGGGTCTATCTAAAAAAACGCTATGGAAATTCAACAGGCTGTCGTGCATCATAAACGCGGCTAAACAATTCAATTTTTACAATCGATCTTTATCTGATATAGTGATATACAAACTCTCGCCTTCGGCTCGAGTTTGTATATCAGATCAATTTATGATACTCTTTTTAAATCGTAAGAATGAGAAATGGTCACATACTCGTCAAATACAAATTGCCGGTCGAAATCACATTCTTCCACCGTTGGGAATTGCATGGAAAACGAAACATAGACAATTTCCAAGATGGAATTAAAATTGAATGTTAAATTATCTAAAATGAGCTCAACTCGTCAATCTTCGTCTTAGTGAGACAATAAGAACGTCCAATAAACATGGTTCGATTAACCACTCATGAACAGAGAACATTCGTAATCAAAAGTTTACGAAACAAATAGCTTGCAGCAGACTCGCGTTGCTTTTGGATTGATTAACTAATTTGCATAATTAATGTAGTTTCAATTCCCAAACGGTGGAAGAATGTGGTTTTCGACCGGCAATTTTTATTTGACGAGTATATATGTGGCCATTGCTCATGGTTACAATTTAAAAAGGTGTCATTGAACAGCTAAATAACAGTTCTTTCGTCCTTTTTAAAAATTGAATTGTTTAGCATGATGCACGACAGCCAGTTGAATTTCCATGCATAGCGTTTTTTTAGACACCCTGTACAACTCGGTGCTACTGTTCCACTAATCCTACAATATACAATGTGTTACATTTAATGATGATAGACAGACAAAACTAAACACGTTTCGACTTGATATCGACAGGATCAAGGTTGTGACTTGTGTATCCATAATTCCTGTGAGCTCCAGCACTAGTTCTATACAAAGACTTTGGTGTTGGTGCAACGGCAGAAAGCAAGTCAAGATTGATTGTGTCTACCAACTTTTTGTCGTCACTAAAGGAGAAAAAATGGTGTGAGTAATTTGTTAGTTTGGTTAACTAAAAAGTATTGAGCATTTCAATACGACCTAATGGCCATATATAGGGCAAGGAAAAATGGATCGAATTATATTTGGATAGAAATTGGATGAGAAACTTGTCCTACTCTTCCGGGCTGCATGGGTAAACAAATTTAATACATGAATGCATGTGACATTATACAAATAATGTTTATGACTGCAATGGTAAGAATATTTTTATGAGGTGGAAGATGGGATGTTCCATTCAACGAGGTGACAGCCGAGTTGAATGGAACATTCCATCTTTCACTGAATGAAAATATTCTTACCATTGCACGAATAAACATTCATTATTTGTTTTATATAATACCAAAATAGACTAATATAGATTCGTATGAGGAGCATTTTGACAGGGACGCCGGAAAGTCAATAATTGGGGGGGGGGGCAGATATTCATATATTCATGTTCACAGACTGTAAAAACAATCGCTTTCAAAGGAAATAAATGATGCAGAACATGAATATATGAATATCTGCCCCTCCCCCCAATTATCGACTTTTCGGCGTCCCTGCATTTTGACGGATGCGATTTATCGAAAACACAAAGAGTGCAATGGAATGAAACGAAATGAAACGAATGAACGTGAATGAAACGTATAGTACAATTGCACTCGCAAAGAGTGCAATGGAAGTATTCCATTGCACTCTTGGGAAATGGAATTTTCTATCCAAGATCACGTGACCATAAACAGCCAATTAAACGATCAGAATTTAATAAGGTATTATATAATTATAAATAATATGTATAACAATGCAAACTATATGCATTATACTCCAATAAGTTAAATTAAAAACTTACCTCTTTTTTTCTTTCCTTGTTGGTCCAGATTTCTTCCTCCACTTGAGGAAAACAACAACTGATGCAGTAAACAAGCCGACAAGAGACAGTACAAGACCTATAGTCAATGCAATTGTACCACCACCATCATCTTCTGATTTTTTGTTGAGCATTCCATTTATTTGAGTACATCTACCTTTATTGTACACGACATCAACTTCACGTGTCTTGTTATCTGAAGTGCTTATCAAAACATTAAATGGCAACACGCAATCATTGTACTTAGTCAACTGGTACGTAACATCTCCAAAACACTGAGAAGATGAGGCTGAGAGTGACCAAATATATACCCTGGTTCCAGAGGTTTATTTTTATTTCCTCTCCCCTTCGCAATGAAAATAATAAAAATAAACCTCTGGAACCAGGGTACCAAATATAGTTAGTTGGCGACAAAACCCTCATGACGTCTGTCACGTCGTGATTATGTAATTTCTGTTGCCCAATACAAAATATATACATTAACATTTACCCTAACCCTAATTCCTGGCCTAACACTACCATAGCTGGACACAAGTACCTAAGACCGAAGAAAAGTAATCTATTCAGCAACACTCGCCTCATCTGTTCAGTTCAATGAAGGTATTGGGATGAAAATATGGGTCTGAACAGATGTGGAAGGTTGCGTGGCAACAGAAACGCCCGAACTGGACGAATTTCTCTTTGGGGTGTTTTGTCTTTCGGTCAGATTTGTGTCTCCTGAAGGAATTCACGCCAACTGGTGCAATTTCTGCTAGGTGTGGTCATTTTATACATCGCCTGTATCACATGATACCTAATCTACATATATATTACATAATTATACCACATTTCCTTTTACATATATGATTACGAGTTTTGCGAATAGTATTTGAAAACATATACTATATGGATTAAAGCATGTGACTAGCAAAGACACTCAAATCGGTTGTGATCAACACCATACAGGTAGCATCTCTTAAAATGTTTTGCGTCCATCGCTGAACTCTGAAGTATATGCACAAGTTTCTTATGGGATCTTATGCAGATGCTTTTGAGTCATCGCTCATTGAAATGTCGCGTTTTGATCGAGCACAATCTAGGCTACTGTGGGAGCGAAACAACTAACCCCCTGATCCAGGGAAAGCATGCAGAAACTGTTGTCGGGGGTTTTGTCAGTGCGGGTTCAGAGTTCTGACAAATCCAAATCCATGAGACTTTTTATTAAGTGTAAGGCATTAAGAAGATAATGTTAAAGATGCGGTACAGTGCGTTTTACACAGGTGTAATTGGAGTCTCCAGCTCGTGATACAGTAAAACTAAACAAAACTGACACGTGCAAATGGACTGCACCGCAACTTTAACGTAAAATTATATTTTTCTTTCACAAATTAAGAAAGAAATATGAGAAGGGAAAAATTACCCGAACGATTTAACCCAAATCTGGTGTTTGCCTACCCTATGTTGGCTGTGAAACGTCAATAAAAGCAAACAGAACACCAGCACAATCAACCATGTACCCAGGCTCTTTGCAGCACCATACTGGGAGAGTTATAATATTAGGCATACATGCGATTGTTAAAAGAAATTTGTGGTGATAGACATGGGCGTACGGGAAGGAAAAAATTAGGGGGGCGGAAAGAAATTTGCCCGACTTTTTCGGATTGTACCAGCGTTGTCAAAAAAAATTTCCGGAGAAACTTTCCAAAATTGTTGTCGACGGGGAGGGGAGGAATGATTACGAAAAATTCCTATTAGATAGCATATTTCCAACAAAATTGACAAAGTTTCCCACAAAATTGACAGAATTTGTCCCATTTATTTTTATAGTAAGCCAATATTGCCCTACTGTGAAGCGAATATTGCCCGACTGGCTTTTTTTGCCCAACAAACTGGGGGGGCTGCCGCCCCCTCCGCCAACCCACACCCGCCCGGTACGCCCATGGTGATAGATCATCATATCCCTCGTAATGTGTATCTAAACTCCATGTTCTTTGTGCAACATTCGAATCTCGTAGAAACTCACCTAAATTCGCCGCGTTTTTCTTGTTCGTCAGATAAAGTTGATGAATACAGATAAGTTCCTCAGTCTGATATTGTTCAACATCAGTAATACGCAAGTAAAGAGACCCGGAAATTCTGTCATGACATTTCAAGCTAATACTGTGATTAAGATCGAATGTGATTCTCAGAGAATGGGCAGTTACATGAAGTACTAATACTGGCAGCAACATGACTCTGAAATTCCGCGAGGATGGTAGGATCTCCCTAGTGAAATTGAAATAGAGTGATATGGTAAATACTAAAATTCCACACATTCAAGTGATAAACTTGTTCATAACTGTTTCACTCAGTTCAAAATGTTAAATAACTAGGCAGAGCCTCACCTGTAAACTGTAGCAATCTTCAGTAATAAAATTTAGATGCAATCTTGATGTGTCGTGAAATGTGTCATTCACTATATAAAGATAATTAAAATATTTTATAATACAGCATTTGTAAATTCCGAACACCAATCGGCCAAGAGCCATTGATATAACTCAATGTCAACACGGGAACTTCGGAACCCCCCCCCCCCACATTTCTTTGTGCCGTATTATAAAACAAATATAAAACATCCCCCCGTATTGATACACAGTTATACCAACACCTGCGGAAATTGCGAAAACCCGAAACTGTGTGAAAACACTCCGCCCTTCGGGCGTCGTGTTTCCACACAATTTCTCGTTTTCCCAATTCCCACTCGTGTTGATATTTCTGTATATAAACACGGAAAATGTTTTATATTTGTTAAATATCAACTATAAGATTAAAATTATTATATGCATGCATATAAATATATAATTTATTATCTCCCCCCCCCCACTCTCCTCCGCAGAATCTAAAATTAAAATACCGGGTGTCCCAAAAAAAAGTACTCCTATTTGATTCGTAATAATTTCTAAACAAGTAGAGCTTTTAAAGAGAAATAACTTGCATTAAATAGAGGAAGGACTAACTTAGATTTTGATATATTACAGTTGTATTTTAC